CATCATCACTATTCTCCTCGCATTCATCGCCATGAAAACCCATGAAATGCCATGAACGGACAAAGCTGTTCTTAGTCCCTAGCAGGATGTAAGGCTGCTGCAAAATAGGCCTAACAGCAGGGTGTCAAAGGCTCTGAGGCATACAACTGTCGAACAAAATGGAGGGCTGTCTGAGCCTCATGAGTTACCAAATATCGCATGAATGAGGCGCCGTGTGACAAACTAGATGTTGACCTGGATGACAAACTAGCGTTACAAATTCATTGCGAACCGATTCAGGCAGGAGGGGAGGCGACGTGGGTATATAACTAGGGTGAAATGGAGTTGCAAATCTTGCAACGCCATACTGGAGTGGACTAGTGCCATATATCAAATCGGAATAGTATCTACCGAATGGCTCCAACTCATATGGTTGGCAGTTGGCACAACATAAGCTGCCTGCACTTGCAATGCAGAGCCAGTCCACCATCCTAAATACGGTTCTGGTCCAATATGGTGGTTGATCTAAATTCTTTCTCGCGAAAGCGCAGTTCTTCACGAAACAAAGCTGTACTTTCGCGAATCTTTTGTGAACCATGTTAAGCTTTCGCGGGGGGTATATCCTAGAAGTCTATAGACCCTGAAGTTCGGGGCCTAAGTCAGATTCCGCCAGCCGCCGGATACTTTAGGCGGCTGATTCCGCCAGCCGCCGGATACTTTAGGTGGCTGATTCCGCCAGCCGCCGGATACTTTGGTGGCTGATTCCGCCAGCCGCCGGTTACTTTGGTGGCTGGCTGGCTGATTCCGCCGGCTACTTTTTAGTTGGCTGGCTGGCTGATTCCGCCGGGTACTTTGGTGGCTGGCTGGCTGATTCCGCCGGCTACTTTGATAGGTTGCTGGCTGGCTGATTCCACCGCATACTTTGATAGCTGGCTGGCTGGCTGGCAGATTCCGCCGGCCACTTGGATAGGTGGCTGGCTGGCTGATTCTCCCGGATACTGTGATAGGTGGCTGGCTGATTCCGTCGGGATTTTGATAGGTGGCTGGCTGGCTGATTCCGCTGGATACTTTCATAGGTGGCTTCCGGCATCTCATTCGCGCGTACAGTTGAGTCACTTTTCGCGTGTACAGACGAGGCGCCGGCCACAGTTCCCGTCTATTTTGAGTGAGAATGGTCCTTTACACAAGTCCCAGCTCCACGGGCCGTGGAGTTTCAGTGTACCGCAGTTAGAGGTTCAGAGGACCTCACCGCACTACCCAAATGCGTGTGACTGGTTCTGGCGCACGCCGCGCTAAAACCAGAAAGAGTGGCGGCGGTCCGGGAAAAGCGAGTTTGAATCTGATCTGGTCGAAATGCGTTCTTTCAAAAATAGCTGAAAGTTCACATATTCTTTACTTTTGGCACACACAGTTGGCTAATGAAGGAAACATGGACCAAACAAGTATTGGCGCCAAATGGTAAGAGGCGTCACAAGTAGTGTAGGCTAGTAATGGCTTCGGGTTTCGTTCAACAATACAAATTGATCCACTATAGTGGTCACATAACTAGTCACATTGCCACGCCACTGATGGCTAAACCCTTCAGATCCTAGAAGCTCATTTTGTCTGATGTCTGCCACGTGTCAAAAGAGCTCTGACGCGCGCTGTCCACGCAAACTGCACTGCAGCTTTCCGACATGCTGGCGCATCGCAAACATGCCTCTCTGAGGCCGGGAAAGCAAAGTCATGTTGTTGTTGTTGGTGGTTGGTTGTTGTTTGTTGATTGTTGTTCCATGGGAACGAAGCTCTTGTGGGAGCGCAGCAACATTGGACAGAGCGTTGTTAGCAATTTCCACCTGAGCCGATGTTTTTGCGCGCGTAAAGGTTGATTGACTGATTGATTGGTTGGAACCATGCCTCCTTGATCAACCCTTCGGGCCAAAAAGTGAAGCCATGTACGCGTCCTGGGAAGGCTTCCTGCCAGCAAGGCAAACAACATAAACAACCTGAGAAGCGGCAAAACGAAAGCCAGCGTTTTTGCTTTCGAGCGTGCTTTCTCAGGCCACCCCCGCGAACCCCCCTTCTTACTCAGCTGGCGCAGGTATAGATACCCAGGGTAACTACAATTCAGTTACCAGGTATAGTACTTCAAGTTCCCTTTCCGTCAACCGCTCGATAACTTTTACACACGTACAGAAATCCACAGCTTTGAAGTCTCATTGAACTTTATAGGTGTGTAAGAGATATAACAACATAGCATTTATACGGACCCCTTTATGTGGCTGATTCCGCCAGCCGCCGGGTACTTTTGGTGGCTGGTTGGCTGATTCCGCCGGATATTTTGCTGGCTGGCTGGCTGATTCCACCGGATACTTTGATAGGTGGTTGGCTGGCTGATTCCGCCGGATACTTTTTAGCTAGCTGGCTGGCTGATTCCGCCGGATACTTTGATAGGTGGCTGGCTGGCTGATTCCGCCAAGTACCCGGAACGCAGGGTCAATATAGAAGTCTTCTGCTTCCACGTATCACCTGTCTATCTACCGCAGATCTTCGCAGAAAACATTTACTTTCGCGAACTCGGAAAAGAGCTTTCGCGAAAAACATAACAGGCTCTCGGTGAACCTAGGCCTTAGGGGTGAAGGATAAAAACAAATACAACATAGTAAGTACAGCATCAAGTTATTTTTAAAAAACTTCGACAGAGATCAACAAGAAAAAATGAAAGTCGAAAACAAAATATAATGTTCCCAGTGAGCAATAAAAGGAAAAGGATACTAGGGAAAGGACAACAGCAGCAGGGCGGGCGACCAAAGGACCATGAAAGGATGTGTGCAACAAATAATCCAAAAAATACTTAGGCGAGGGTGTGCAATATTTGGTGTGGATATGCGACGGGGTGACCTTTCAAAAGTCTGCCGCGGCAGGCCCAGTGCATTGGCCAAAGTAGATTTCGTGGCGCCAGGGCGAGGTTGCAAAACACAAAAGCCACCAGACGCTGAAGGCACCACAAAATACATCGTCATTGAAAACTATACACCCTATTGCCTAATCAATAAAGGGCACTCAGAACTACTCAGAGGCGGGTAGCGCTTCGTTGTGTTGTTGACCAATTATGACCAATGGACCACAATGCCAGCGGACCAGGACAAGGACCAGGGGACCAAAGGAGTACCAGGGGACCAAACAACTAAAAACGGATGGATGAGGGCACCAAAGGACCAGGGGAGCAATGGACCAGGGCACCTACTCAGGGTTACTTTGTCATCCTAATTCTAATCTTTTGTTTTGATCTAGATGCCACCAGTAACTACCATATATGTCCGTAATATATATATATATGTTTTTTTATTTTCATGATTCATCAAGATTTTACAAGTAATCAGGGCAATCCCGTTCTTTCTTATCCCAATGTGAAGCTTTCTACTTCCATGCCACTCGGGCCTACTCCAAATCAGTGGATCGCCTGGTGTGACAAATGACCAGGTGTGGCAACAAATCACAAACTTGGATCCCATCGCTGGGCGCTAGGTCGTTTTGAAGGACGCACCTACCTCGTTCCAAGAGTTTGCTCTAGAGACGGCGCCAATTTCCAGCTTCAATGAGGCAAATCGACGGCCAGGAAGGGTCACTTTGCATGCGATTGTGCAAGCACGCCTGTATGAGTTGGTGATATCCAATGCTGTACAACAACTAGCAGCAACAACACCTCGGAAGGAACGTTCCTACGTATGCCATGATATTCTGCGAATGGAAGTGCAGCGACATGTACAGTGCAACTTGTACATATATATATGTACCATATGTACTTTGGCTCAAGGATCAAGCGACTAGAAAGGTGCGGTTTCCGTTCCGACGCTACGCCGCTTATGGACCGTCAGTGATAGCTTCAAACTTCGCTGATTAAGATCCACTCGCAGGTTATCAGCCGTACGCGCTCTTTATAGCCGTACGAGCTACACGAGACCAAGAACAAGACTAGTCATTACAGAAACCTGCAATGTCAAGCTCAGGAGGAAATGGAAGCGAACCCTATTCATTCGCTGCTCCTGGTGGTCCCAACACCATTTCGTCACCAGACTCTACAATGGGTACTGATTCATCAGCAAATGCTGACGTTATCACTATGCCTACTGGATCACAAATCTCGGAAAGATCCGTGCCACCGGCTCGGAATCTGACCGATCTTGCACCCGTAGGACCAAGAAGATCGATGAGAGCTACAACAAGATCTACATCGCCTATAACGTCTACCGCGAGATCCCCAAGAAGGAGTATAGAGAAGAGACGTGACGATGATAGAGGAACAAAAGAGCAAAGAAGAGAGATTCAGCTGGGTGAAGAATTGAGATCGGCGAGAAACGCATACAATTTTCTTCATGAAGAATATGAATACATCCAAGCCGGATACTCACGACTACACCACGAGGCTGAAGTGGAGTTCAGGCAAATGTCTGACTACAACAGGAAGATGCAGGAACATCTACAGGAGATGACACAGGAGGATGAAGGAGCGACAATAAGAATTGAAGAGCTCGAACACAAGCTACGCTTGGCGGAATCGACAGCTGAACATATCTACATGAGATATCAAGAGCTTGCACAAGAAACTCATCAAGAACATTCAGAGCTTGAATCTGTGAAAGCAACGAAGGACAGAATGTCCCAAGAGCTTCAAGCAGCAATTGGACACATCCAAGAACAGAATGAATCTTCATTGGCGATCAATAGAAGATCAAAAGCCATTCAGGATGAGAACACAGCCTTCGTCGGAATAGCTGACCAGATACAAGCTAGAATGATTGCGCTACAGGATGAGAATGTCAACATGCACGAGGTGATCCAACACCAGAGAGAAGAACAATGGAACAGTGAGGTCAGGGAAAGACGTCTTCAACACAGTGTTCACTCATCTCAGGATCAGAGCAATCAGGAAGCTATGGTTATTGATCATCTACGAGGTCAACTAGCTATGGCACGTGGAGCTGAACTCAACGCGAGAGCGGAGATAGAAGAGATGGAAGTGGGCATGAGGATGGAGATGTTTGTATGCCAGACTGAAGTCTCTGCTAAAGAAATGGCAGAAATGAAGGCGAGCCACCATGAATACGAAGCAAACGTCGCCAAGGAGGTTATCGCAAAAGGAGATATATTC